CTGTTCCAATTATGTGTTAGTGCAACCAATCCAGCATGGATGTTCTGTGGCTCCTTGAGAGTTGTGAGATCCTTGTCCCACACATTACCCACAAATAATCAAGGGCTCCATGTGTCAACATCTTCTGCACATTCTTGCAGGACTGAGCACTATTTTACTATTTCACAACTTTTCTATAATCCACTTGACACACCTTTCTTAAACATCTGACATTACCCCATGCTTCCTCACTAAGGAGGAAACAAACAAATACTACAGTGGTACCTCAGGTTAAGTACTTACTTCGTTCCAGAGGTCCGTACTTAACCTGAAACTGTTCTTAACCTGAAGCACCACTTTAGCTAATGGGGCCTCCTGCTGCTGCCACACCGCTGGAGCACAATTTCTGTTCTCATCCTGAAGCAAAGTTCTTAACCTGAAGCACTATTTCTGGGTTAGCAGAGTCTGTAACCTGAAGCGTATGTAACCTGAAGCGTATGTAACCCGAGGTACCACTGTATAACCAAATTTATCAGAGTAATATCATAGAATCGTTTAATTGTAAGAATTGGAAGGGACCATGGGGGTAATACAGTCCAACCCTTTGCAATGCATGTATCTTTTGCCCAATATGGGGTACGAATCCCTGAAATTAAGCGGCTCACGCTCTACCGCTTTAAAAATAAAACCACACAGCAAGCCTGATAATGTGTGTTGATATATGTCTGCAGGCTTAACACGCAAACTTATGCTGATGTTCGGCCCCTACTAAAATGGACTACCAAATTATAAAAAGTAATCTGACTATTATTAATAATTAAAAGGCTGCGGGGAAGTCTCGGGAAAGGTCAAGGATAAGGAGAAAGAAATGAATTTCTCCCTCAAGGTTAGGACAAAGTTATCGTTCGGTGACACAGTACAGCAGTGCTGCTGAAAGCAATATGGCTGTCAAATATTCTCACAAGATTCCAGTTTCACAATCCTAGTGAAATTCACACCAGCAGAACCCCACCGGCCCACCTTGCAGTCCTATTACACTGGTACCTGATGCGTACGAAATTCAGAAATAACTTAAGGGCACTTTCATTCCTGAGAAGTTCTGAATAGATTTCTACTCACGTGGGTTGCTTGCAATATGATGCATAATGTTAGTCGCTGCATTCTAAGCCCTGTCTCTTACTCCATCAATATTACGGATCAAAATACATGATCCAACCAAAATTAAGCACTTTTCGGTTCCACTGGTTTCAATAGAAAAAAATAAGCATGTTAATCCTCTGCCACTGAAATTAAGGTGCTTGACTTTAACTGGACTATGCCATATAGTTGTACAAATTACTAGGCCTAAATGCCTGAAGTCTCAAAATATTTAATAAAGACAAGGCTGAAGCACTTTTACAAGCTATATAGGTCAATAACCTGGTTTAAACTTACTTTTTCAAGAGAGAGAAGGGGAGATTTACACACAAACACACACGTGAATATATACACACAGAAGAAAATGAAGCACTATCTTCCAGTGCTCTTCAATCAAGTGAATGCTGCAGCATGCAAAATGTCAAGGCCTATCTCAGGAAATAACAGCGCTTATCTCATCACTATGTTGACAAGTCCTCAAGTAGTAAAGGTGGCAATTCTATGTAAATTAACTGGTATCAAAAGTTCATCATAATTAACCCCTCACAACAGAAAAGTCCTAACCTTTTTTAAAGCAAACCTGTAGACGTATAACATTATTCAAGGAGGTTTACATGAACTGTAATGGAGTCAACTGCAAAACCGACTCGGAAAGTTAGGTCAACTTAGGGCTCTTCCACATTTCTGTTTGCTCTGCCGCTCCCCCCCCCCCCCGCAAGAAAACCTGCGGTTTACCATTGAATCAGAAGAAATGGCAATCAGGTTTCCAAGGATTGCCGTTTGTTCTAGTTTTAATGGCAGGTTTTTCAGGGGAAAGGAGTGGCGCAAAGCCAAACTGCTCAGACTCATGCCTGGAGAGACAATCCAAAGTGTGGCAAGCCCTTATACTCATGCAAGTGTTATTAAATAATAAGATGCAGTGAGATGTAGATGTAACATGCAAACTGACTGCAGGGGTTAACCTCATTAAGATTAGGCAAGTCTCACCCCTCAATATTTTTAAAGGTCCACCTTTTTGTCATGACCTTCAGTGACTAATTCTAAACTGAGCTGCAGAAATGGCGTCTTCTCTCTTTCTACGGTTAGGTTATGCAGGCCTACTTTATACTGGCTTAAGTTGTTTTAAAATTATGCTTCACTGTTTTGTTGTGCATCTTGTAATCTACTTTGTCAAGATTCGTCTCTTAAAATGTGGATTATAAAACTGTTAAATAATGAGCAAATAAAATACGAAAGAGTTATCTGGCCAATTTTGCTATTCATTGCTATTCCCATTAGCTGGAGTATCCTAGAACAGGCACACAAGGATAAGTTGGCAACTGTAAGTCGGCAATAAAGGAAATGAATTATCAGGGGAGATACTTGAAATGTTCTGGACAAAAAAAAAAGGAGATGAAGGGGGTTATATATAAAATCATCTTATTTCAATACTGGATTTATTAATCTCTAGTATCTAACCTTCCATTGGTTCTCTGCTCACAAGCATTAACATGAATTAGAATCAGCATGGGTAACATGCTTTGGAAGGATAATGGGAAAGGAATCTCTTCTGTGCTGCTGTTAGAAGTTATGTAAAGCGCATTGTGCGATAGGACTAATCTACATAAACTGAACCTGAAGGAGCCCGGCCTGTGGGATGAGCTGCAATGATAGCTTCCGAGCATCAGCATTGCTACTGATTACCGGGAGGAGAAGGGGAAGGGATGTGGTGGCAGAATGGTCAGGGCTGTGGAGATCAACTGATGGAGTAATGGATTGACTCCCCCAGTGTGCTTGCATCAGCCATAATCTCACCTCCACCTCTTTCTCTCTCAGTAAGGCATCAACAAGGCTGCTTCTAGGAAACTAGAACTGTGGCCCCACCCCACTAAGAGACCCACTTCTGCATAGCGTATAGGAAGTTCCTTGTCTTGATGTAACTAGTCAGTTATTGGGAAGTGAACACAGAGAGAGAGACTGCCACAGAATTAAATGCACATGCTAGAGACAAGCTAGAAATGCACAGTGCTAGGAAAACATTTTGCATTTTCTAGGAGAGATAATGAAACCACGACAAGAACACTAAAATACGAGTACTACAGAAGTGGTTCATTGATAAAAGTGGATGGCACCCATCATTACTTAGCTTTCAAAACAAAGATTGGGGCTTTGATCACAGACTACATTCCATTTCATCTTCAAGACACACTTCTTCAACTTCCCTTTGCTAATGTAAGCTCTTTAACGGCATGTCAACTGTTTCCCACTCTCTCCCAAACCTCAACCAAAGAAACCCTATTGGATATACACACAAGTATTCACAGTGCTTTAACACTATCTGGAGGTGTTAAGAAAATACCATACTGAGCATCAAGGAAATGCTGGCGCCTAAGCAGTATGCATGCAGCAGTTTCCATTACTATAAAATTCTGAGAAGGCAGTAGCAATCCTAATTAAATTGACTTATTCACGAATGCAAATTGATGCACACTCTGGCCTTGCTTTTGTTCTTTTTAAAGGACCCATGCTACTGTTCCACCCTTAATTAATTGGAATTGCCCTTGAAGATAATGATAAAGAGACATTGTGACAAAATTACTACAAGTCAGATAGGCTGAGATTTGAGGGTGTTGAATTTAGTGATATTGTGCACGCTGTGAAAATACATATAGACTAAGCAGACCTTTCTAAAATAAAAAATGCATGCACGCATTGCATAAGCAGAGAATAAGCAATAAGGGTCTTTGTTTCCTTTACTCTTGTGGCAGCTAAATGATAAGATCAATATAAGCCCTGCAAACATACAAATGTCTCTGAGTTTGTGTCTTCCGTCCGCTTAAATCTCACCAAATCAATCATCTTACTTTGCCTTACATAGCTGGGCTGATAGAATGTGCTGCTTTGCATTAGATGGGGCTAACTGCATGATGAAATTAGCAAAATATTTTCATGTACCATATTACAGTGGTACCTTGGTTTACGAACCTAATCCGTTCCGGAAATCCATTCTTAAACCAAAGCATTCTTAAACCAAGGTGTGCTTTCCCATAGCAGCAGGGGAACTCAATTTACAAATGGAACACACTCAACAGGAAGCGGAACATGTTCTTATTCCAAGGCAAAGTTCACAAACCAAAACACCTACTTCTGGGTTTGCAACGTTCTTAATCCAAGTTGTTCATAAACTAAGCTGTTCTTAAACCAAGGTACCACTGTACTGGTAAAATATAGGTATGCTTTCACTAAAGTATCAGCTACAAGTGCTATAGAGACATGCCTGCATCTAGCATAGGTGTTTTTGCAAAACCTGCTTATGCATGTGGATTCCCTTGCTGGATCGTCAACAATGCACACCCACGCACAAAGAAGATGTGCCTCTACCTTTTGCACATTTGGACATGAGCTATCTGATGCATTTGCCGCTTGCTCTGAACCAAGGTTTTCCAAACTTGGGTCTCCAGCTGTTTTTTGGACTACAATTCCCATCATCCCTAGCTAGCAGGACCAGTGGTCAGGGATGATGGGTACTGTAGTCCCAAAACAGCTGGAGACCTAAGTTTGGGAAACCCTGCTTGAAACCAAGGGTGGCTAATCTGTGGCCCTCCAGATGTTGCTTGACTCCAGCTGCCAGTAAGCCTGAACGAAGACCATGCTGACTGGGGCTGGTGGAAGCTGGAGTTAAACATCTGGAGGTCAAAATTAGCCACCGGGTCTTTACAAATTACGGGGAGAATCAGGCATTTCTCTCTGTGTCACAACACAACCACAGCCTTGGCTTGCACACATTACCGTGCACACTTATGGCATGATCAGAACCACACTCCTCTGCCGAAGATTTCTTAATGCCATATAACGTTTGATTTCCAAGCAGCGAAAATGTGACATTCATAACAAGTTTGTTCTACCTGTCATGGTTTACTTCAGGTTTCCTGAAGAATCATTCAGACCTAAAGCAAAAAAGAAGAAGAAGCAAGAAATGAAATATTGGCCATTTCAAAACTGTATTAGTTTGAATTTAGTGTTTAATAAACATTTCATTTGAGTTGTTTTTGTTTGGAGGATGACTCTTTATTTACAGGACAAAAGGCAACTGGAAGGCAAGCTGGTGTAAGGCACGGGAGGAAGGGTTTTCAACTAGAGCGTATAGCAACTCCCACCATTTGCCTCTTACACAACATCTAGAACACACCAGGCTTCATAAAGTCATTACCGTAAAGGTCTTACATCCAAGTCCATTCCCCAGTCTGCCCAACTCACCAAGCAGGCACAGACTTCCTTGCCTTGATGTCCCTGTCTGCTTGATCTGGAAGCAGGCGATTTGCTTAGGAAATATTTCTGTTTGCATCAAAAGACTTCCTGGTGGCACCACAGAATTAACTAATTTAGCATATTCACTTTACTTGTATTTTAGTAAACCAAGCTAAAAACCTTGGAACTGCCAAGTTTGCCCAATGCTGCATTTGCAATTTGCATCAGTTCATTGTCACCAATGAACTTAAGCAGGGTGGGTGGCCTGGGAAAATGTTCCACTCTACCTTACCTACCTACTTTTGACCTTGTCTTGCTTTTGGCTCTTTGGATTTTTGCCTTTCTGGCCCAGAACTTAATCCCTAGTCGTGGTCCGTCTCAGAGCACAGATCAGGCTTGACAGCTACGCAAACTGGCACAACCTTTACTACAGGGTGCAAATTTAGCTGTCACTTCTTGCACAACTACAGCATCAGTGTGCGCCCATTTCGCATGTTGAACAATGACTTGTAGCACACTGCTATTATGCTGTACCACAAGTACAGCAGAATCCAGTAGGTGCCAAGGCACAAGTTTTACTACTAACAAGCCATAAAACGATGGGTAAGGCTGCATCCTGCATCCTGCATCATTACCAGCAACGAAACACTGGAAGTGGAATTTATTAATGGAGCACTTTGTGAGAGAGCTAATAAGATTTTAGAGCTGCACAAAGTTATTTTTGTCAATGATGTAAGCAGAAGTGACTCAGAACAAGACAGTATTTGTGTAAGATGCTAGATCACTTCTCTGCTGTTCTTTCTTTCTTTCTTTCTTTTTTTACTATACCTCAGGAAGACAGTGACTCACCAATGCACTTGCTTTGCATACAGAATGATGACTAAGTGCCTAAGAAACATGGTCAGAATCCTGGCTCAAGGAGCCCGTTTTCCATTACAGTAATAGGAAAAGACAAGTAAAGTGCTCTGCAGAAAGGTTTTTTTTGCAGTCTAATAATAACGACCATAATACAATACCAAAAATAACGTCGTGATTTTCTAACAAACTCTTAGAAAATAGATCTGAACACGGATCACCAAAATCAAAAGACAATTAAGCAGGTACAGTGGTACCTCGGGTTAAGTACTTAATTCGTTCCGGAGGTCTGTTCTTAACCTCAAACTGTTCTTAACCTGAAGCACCACTTTAGCTAATGGGGCCTCCTGCTGCTGCCACGCCGCCAGAGCACGATTTCTGTTCTCATCCTGAAGCAAAGTTCTCAACCTGAAGCACTATTTCTGGGCTAGCGGAGTGTGTAACCTGAAGCGTATGTTACCTGAAGTGTATGTAACCTGAGGTACCACTGTAGTAGTAGCTGGACTGGATGAGTCGCAACTAAGTAGAGAAGAAAAAATAATAATCTCTAAAATGGTCGTTTTCTTCATTTCAAAAGAGGGTTCCAATTATTTGTACTTCCTCCTAGTGCTATTCTGAAATGAGTTATCTACATCAAATGTAAAAGAGGTAGAATTCACTAAGTCACATTAAGGGTGAGCACAACAGAATAAATGTCAAGCAGCCATCAAGTAATGATATGAAAGTAAGTCAACCCTGGATGTTTTAACACTTCACTCAGAAAGTGGACAGAAAATACGACGCGTCAAAAATCGTTAAACTAGACACGAACTCTGTGTTGTTGCTACCTTCACTGCTATTTACAATCTCAGGGGTCCCTGTAGACTTTAAGAGTTTCATGAATGAGATCCAAAGGAAACAAAGACCGGCACAAGGAATAGCTCTTGAAATGCAAGCACTGTTTTACATTTTAGTTTGTAATATACCAATACAAAACGTCCAGGTCCCCCATAGGGATGCAATGGTAAACACACTTACCAGGAGTTTTGCATGCTTTGTTCGGAGCTCGAACAAACCGCGCACTCTGCAAACACAGCTAGGTAAGGCGCTAGAAGAAACCGCAGGAAAATGTCTTAAACCAAGTCAGATCCATCTAGCCTCTTATTATCAGCTCTGACTGGCTTTTCAACCAGGCTCTCTGCCAGAGAACACTTTCTCATCTTCTGCTTACAAGGTGTGTGATCTACCATGAGGCTATGACTCTGCCTCACATAGGGACAAAAAATTCTCCACCATGGGCAATAACTGCCTCAACCTCACCATGTTGGGTTGAGTATGTGCAAGTTCTAGGCAAAAGTTGCAACTTTTGCAAAATTAAAGAGTACTTCTTCCTCTCCTTTCCTAATGATTTCTATTTATTTAAATTTATTTTTTTTAAAAAAGCACCTGGTGGCAGAGCATGAGACTTTTAATCTCAGGGGTTCAAGCCCAAAAGATCCCTACAAACTGCTATACAATTATGTTTAACAAGTCAACTTTAGCGATCTCTGTAGGATCCTCCATTAATTTCCAAAATAATTGGTAAAGGCTGAACACAAATTAACAGGGACTGAAAAAGCTTATTGACTGGGTATGAGCTTTAGTCATAAGCCCCACAATTAAATGTGCACAGAATTTCAACCTCTTTGTTTGCAAAAGCACGGCCCTATTTCAGACTTTCTGGCTATACAGATTATTGTCCACCATGCTGATTTGCTATATTATATACACATTTATTTTTTTTATTTTTTTGCCACTGGATCTTGTAAGGAAAAATGAATATAAAGTAAGAACTCATGTTTTTCAAAAGCCTGCAGCAGCATCTGCTCAGCATTCAAGGCAAACAGAAAACTTTTTACCTCAGGTAAAATAGCTTCAGGGAGGGCTGATCTTCTTAACCCAGTGAGAATTGGTGCTGCGTATAAAAAAAGATGAGTGCAGTTTTATAGATCATACAGAATCAACAACTTATCTTGGGAAATCATCCGGCAACGTGACTGGCACCACAGTAAAAGGACAACAGCATGAGGAAATATAATTATTATGAGCCTATGAAAAAGAGTATTTGTTCTCTTTTTACCATACAACATGCCTAAATATACTAAATGCAAAGATGCTTAAGGTTTTAGAGATGCCATCATTTGTTGCCTTGACAGAATGAATGAGAAGCAGTTGTTATTTACAGTACACATGTGTACTGTATAATTTAACCATAGTGCCTGCGAACTTGTCATTAAAGATTACCAGGAAAGACTCCTGTCAGTATAATAGACACTATAAATTACAGAGCCAAGTCCTGACTCAAATAAAGGCAGCGAGGGAGGGAAATTGGAAGGGCTTGTTCAAATCCGAGCATTATTTAGTTGTTAATCCAGTTTCCCCCCTTTTGAATTAGACCAGATTAGTCTACACTTGCATGTATTTGAATTTGTACATAAGAAGTGACTTCAGTCTTTTCCATTAATACTAGTAAGGTAAAAAGGTGAAGGACCCCTGGACGGTTAAGTCCAGTTGAATTCAACTATGGGGTGCAGTGCTCATCTTGCTTTTCAGACTGAGGGAGCCACCATTTGTCCACACACAGCTTTCTGGGTCATGACTAAACTGCTTCTGACACAACAAGACACTGTGTGTACCTATTTCTCCACTTGCACTAGTATGCTTTTCGAACTGCAAGGTTTGCAGAAGCTGGGACAGAGCAACGGGAGCTAACACTGTCGCACAGATTCGAACTGCCAACCTTCCGATCGGCAAGCCCAAGAGTTTCAGTGCTTTAGACCACAGTGCCACCCACGTCCCTATTCATACTAGTAAATGTTCCCTTTTTTGTTTCTCTTCGCCTTTTAATGTGTTGCTTTGATTATGCCAATTAAGCAACATGGCCACTTAGTTCTTTTGTTTTTTTAAAATCCCCACCCAGGGAGTACACAAAAGCACACCTTCAGGCCACTGTAAATTCTCAGCACACGCTTTTGCAATTTTTTGGTTTTTGTACAAATATGAGGGATGGAAACAATTCTCTCTTCTGCTCAGGAGCATACCAAAAAATGGTTGCAAGCACAGCAGCTAGATAAAGGAAATAAAAGAAAGCATTGAGGAAGTAGTGGACATGCAAAGGGGAGTAGCAAAAAAGTGACAATTGATCCACCCACCCAAAAACACTGAAATAAATTATCTGTGATGCTGAGTGGAGCAGTTTGGATTATCTCCATATCTGAATGTACAGGACGAGAGCATTAAAACTGGCCTTGTTTGAGGGTAACGTCATGTGGATGATACAAATTACAAACTACAAGAAAGAAGATTCCACCTAAACATTAGGAAGAGCTTCTTGACAGTAAGAGCTGTTCGACAGTGGAATTTGCTGCCAAGGAGTGTGGTGGAGTCTCCTTCTTTGGAGGTCTTTAAGCAGAGGCTTGACAGCCATATGTCAGGAGTGCTCTGATGGTGTTTCCTGCTTGGCAGGGGGTTGGACTCGATGGCCCTTGTGGTCTCTTCCAACTCTATGATTCTATGATTCTATGAAATGAAGTGGGAATGCAAACAGCAGCAAATACACTTTAATCTCACCAGTGTGGAGAAGCCCTAAGACAGGAGCTTGCTTTTATATACACTGGGAGGTAAAAACCATCTCATCAACTGATTCGTCATAAATCACCCTTGCCACACTACAGTGGCTCTTCTTCTCTTATCTCCTTTGACTGCAGTCACACCTGAAGAAGTGAAGAAGAAGAGTAAGTGCTGATGGCTGGATTGTATCATGGGAAGCAATATTCTCCTGGGACTCACATGTGTTGCAAAAAGAAAGACATTACAAATCCTCCAACCATTTTCTGAACAGAGCCAGTGTGGTGTAGTGGTTAAGAGCGGTGGACTCGTAATCTGGTGAACCAGGTTCACGTCCCTGCTCCTCCACATGCAGCTGCTGGGTGACCTTGGGCTAGTCACACTTCTTTGAAGTCTCTCAGCCCCACTCACTGCACAGAGTGTTTGTTGTGGGGGAGGAAGGGAAAGGAGAATGTTAGCCACTTTGAGACTCCTTAGGGTAGTGATAAAGCGGGATATCAAATCCAAACTCCTCTTCTTCTTCGTCTTCTTCCCGCACCAAACTTCATAAATTTATCAACAACCGAGTACAACTGAATTTGTCTTAATAATAATTGTGATTATGATTTGTGTTTGTAATAAGGCATGGACCTTGTTTTGCACACCACAGTCATCAAGCAACCAAAATCAGCTGCTGATAACTGGATCAGCAAGCCCCATTTTGGATCCAAGCCCAAAAATATATCAAATTATATTTGATAGCTGTCTGAAGCAACTATCAGAGTTGCAAACTACTTCCCAGCCTGTGTCTCTCCCACGTGATTTGTTATTAAACATGCTTCAGGTTTTTAGTTGGAACCCCTATGTACACTTACGCTACGGTGAAATTATTAAGATTTACTTGCAAGTAGACTTGTACTTCCTCCTCCCCTTTGTTTGCTGTTTCTATTTCTTAATTCAGCAGCCAGGGGGAAGGAGGAAGTGACTGTAACTGGTAAAAAGTATTTGATTCCTGAAGCTGTTTGCCAATTTAGCTGCAATCCTCCAGCTGGCATCTTGGTTGCCCCTTTGGTATTTTCTGAGGATGCTATGTTGCTCCAGCAACCATTCCTAATTATCCTGGGACACTGGGCAAACAAGATTTCCTTCCCAGGCTCTGTGAAGGTCACCCCTGAATTGTGACGCTTGAGCACAGGTTATCGCTGCAGCAAGCCAAGTGATCAAGAGCACAGAGTTCCGTTAACATTTCTCTCATTGTCCAGAAATCCTTATGCGCTACAATTAGGACAATATTGGGGAAACTGCTTACAATGCAGTTGTTACTGCCTAAGCTGATCACTGAAACTGCAGTTTCAGATCTTGCCAAATCCCTCATCTTTTAGGTAGAGTGCAGACGGATATCTCCATTAACAATCTATTCTCAATCACTCACTGGCAATGCTAGTTTTCTGGCAAGTACAATTAACTATCTGAAGAGACAGATGAGACTTCAAAAACCGATGAGGCCGACAATAGGCGGAAAGAAGAATTTTGTAGCCAAAAAAGTCTAGTAAGATTTTCTAAAACAGTGATGTTCCAGCATAATTCTATTCCTACAATCGGTTATACAATCTTTCTGCTGTGGTTGTGGTTTTTGTTTTAATTAGTAAGAGACTTTATTAGGCTTTTGAGCTGGACAAAATCTTCAAATAAGCAGTGCGTGGATTTTCTTGCAGCTGATTTTATCATTTGAAATAGAGCCCCAAAGTAACGTACAGATGCATGCTGATCTCAACAACGCATCTTTGCTGCAGTGATACAAAACAGGGGTGATTTACAATGGGGAACATCTAGATTTAGCAAACAAGAGCATGGTGTTGCTACACTTGGCAAATGAGACAGAGCCCTTCAGCTCTGATCCACTTACTACTGGCAACTTTTAAATTCCCCTCAGAGGATATCGAAGTGCAGTAGAGCGAGACTACACAGGCTCTGGCATTGCTCTTAGGATACTGGATAAGGGGTTTTCTCCATTCAGCCTCACCACTAACAGCTGTGACACAGCCAAAGAGGAAGCGACTATTCTAACCCACACTGATACAAGCGGCTTTTGTACTAAACCCTCTGAAATGCTGCACTCCTAACAGGTTCAGTTGGTAAATTTACCTCCAGAGGATTTACAGTGGTTGGAGATATTACCATTGTTCTGTTACACACAGACAACAAAAATTTGGCCTCCTACTTTAGGAACTCTTAGAATGAGCCATGAAGGGGGAAGAAAGGCTTTTCACATGTTGTACTCCTAGAGTCATAGAATTGTAGCATTGGGAAGGACCACAAGGGTCATGTGGGTCCAGCCCCCTGTGAAATGCAATAATCTCGAACTATGAACGCTGTGATTAATAGTCTCATGCTCTACCAGCTGAGCTCCTGTGATGATTTTCAAACAAGTAAAGGAAAAGAGAATACAAAGGGCATGGGATGTATGCTCATGATCATATTTATCAGGCACCATCGGTTCAGCATACGTGCCAATTGGACACTGAATTGCCTAACAACACTGGGGAAACGTCAAGTATTTTTAATGCACACGTACGAAGAGGTTGTTTTGCTTCAGTCTGCAGTAAAGAGGATTTCACAAATCGTGCTTGGTTGGAGAATGAGAAAATATTTTTAATATAAGCTGAGTAATCAACAGCTAGAGGAAATAAAGGAAGGGAAACCTAGGCTATTGATTGAACAGGAGGCGATCATATGCCATGAATATGATGCAGCGGCAAAGAGTTGCATTAAGGAAAGGCATTTTATTTTGTTTCCTTGCTTAAGTGTAATTTATACACTGCTTTACAGGTGATCTTCAAAAAGTGTTTTACCGTATTTTCCCATGTATAACACGCCCCCCTGTATAACACGCACCCAATTTTTGGGGACTCCAAATAAAGAAATCCCCCATATGCACTATCCATGTATAAGACGACCCCAAATTTTAAACTTGAAAAAATAGGGGGGAAATATAGTCTTATACACGGAAAAATACGGTACATGGGATTATTACAACAAGGCAACTTGTTGGTACAAAATCTGCTACTGCTTCTTCTCCCCATTGCTCAGGGCAAGATGGTTCTGCGGAAGCCCACGGGGCAACATCTGGTGGAGGAAGGAGCCATTGTGGGAACTGGATGGTCACAGTCCTTTTCTCCACCTCCCTCCAGACCCCTCTGTGGTGGCAGTTGCATCCATAGTGCGGCTGGAGAAATGGTGCATTTTACAAGGCAATGCCAAGCTTGGTAATAATTTTGTCGTCAACCTTGAAAGGAAGTCCAGCAAGACCTATAGCTGGGAATGGACATCAGCTACCAGAGCACAGGTAGGCTACGCGACACAGTATAT